CACTGCGCTGCGGGGGGGCCCCGGCCGGGGGGGGGGGGGGGGGGGCGTGGAGACACACGGAGGGAGGGACGCGGGGGGAGGAGAGAATTGAGGCTTTGAACAGGCTGCTGTGCCAGTCCAGCCACCGGGGAAGCTGGTCTTTCGCCCCTCACAGTCTCAGCAGGTAACACCGTCTCAGGCTTGTCGCCTCCCAGTCCTTCTTCCCACTCCCCGCACCCCAGGCCCCGGGTGCCTTTTGTCTACAGCGGGTTCCTTCAGGTGCCCACGCAGCTGAGCGGAAGGTAATCAGATCAGGACACGGAAACATGCAAACCGCAAGTTTGGGTAGTTGGCTCTTTTTACGGTTTGCGTGTACGTGGCCGTGATTTTTATCACATGTGCTTCCTGCTGTATTTTTTCCTGATTTCCTGGGACAGGAGTCACTGTATCAAAGGACCCTGGTGTCCTACCCAGGGCTCCACGGCCTCATGGGTCTCTGTTGGAGGAACATCTTTGAGCGCCGTTGTTTTAAAAGAAGGAGGTGGGCTTTGGGGCCAAGTTCCAGCCTTGTCGTTTAGTGGCTGTGTGATCTTGGACAGGCTTCCGTACCTCTCTGGGCCTCATTTATAAAATAGGAATAAGCCCTGACCGGTTTGGCTCAGTGGATACAGTGTCGGCCTGCGGACTGAAGGGTCCCGGGTTCGATTCCGGTCAAGGGCATGTACTTTGGTTGTGGGCACATCCCCAGTGGGGAGTGTGCAGGAGGCAGCTGATCGATGTTGCTTTCTCACTGATGTTTCTAACTTTCTATCCCTCTCCCTTCCTCTCTGTAAAAAATCAATAAAATATATTTTTTAAGAAATAGGAATGACATCATCTACCTCAGAGGGTCCCTGGGAGGGCTAAAGGAGGTAAACTATAAAATTACCCGGGAAACACACCGATTATAATAAGCGTAGCTATATGACCACTTCTTCACGCGGCTGTGCCCCTGTATCTGAGCTCCTTTGTGCTAGCCAGGCCCTGTGCTAGATGGCGGGGGTCACAGTGCTAGAGTCAGGCGGGCACTATGAGGTGCGATTGCAAGTGTGGGGGGTTATCTCACTGGTGGGCAGTGATCATGTCTGATTCTGCCATGCCTGCTGCCCACCGGGAGCCTGGCAGGACCAGCCGGACTCTGGTGGGCAAACACTCACGGCCATCCCGGCCCAGTTTGTCCTGTGTGACTTCTGGCCGTAGCCCCCAAATAGAATAAAACATAGAAGGAAAGCAACGCGACACCTGAAGCCATCCAATCTGTCACCGCCGCCCACTTGAAGGCCATCTCGGAAAGGGGCGTCGGCGAGCGGCAGGGACAACTGTGCGTGGGTGGAGGGGGCACTTCACATTTGCACGCTGTTGAACGCCATCTGTGTGCTCCCTTAGTGGAATTTTCTGGAATAGCACAAAGCAGAAATCTGAGCGAGGTGGCCTGGGTGGCCGGAGAGGGGAGCACGGGGCAGCCTGGTGGACACCCGGGAGGAGGAACCCTTTCCTGACCACGGGACCCTGGAGGGGCAACTCCGAACATGCCAGGTACTCGATACTTAGAACCGCACTGGG